TGGGCTTCGATCTGCACCCATATGTTTGATCATGAAGCACGCTAGATAGAGGACAAGGATTTTTCCCTGTCAGTTTGGGCCGTGTTAGACACAGCAGTAGGTAAGAGCTTGAGGTTGGTTCTCTGGTAAGAACAGGCTGTGAAGTCTTAAGTTTTATGCATAAGGAGCCTAAATTTCTTTGTTTTAATTCAAGTTTGCCTGGATATGCAACAGACTTGATGGAAATTGATAAAAAAAGCTCCACTGAAAGACTCCAGTGCACAAATAGTTGGGCGTGAGGAGGTCTAAGCAGGGTCAGCCAAAGTGCTTCTTTCAGGAGTGCGAAGGTTTAAGCGGCTCCTTTCCTGCGGTTAACAAGAAGCGTATCGAGAGTTTACGCTGGATATTTAGCTGCTTTGATTGTAGAAGATGTGCCAGCGCTGCATTTGAAGCTGAAGTGGGCTGCTGAGGCAGCTTGGTTAAGTGTGGTGTAAGCAGGACGCCTGAACATTTTCCTTTCTGCTGGAAGCATCATCTTGCTAACCTAAGACGGAACAGCCTGCAGAATCCTCATCATTAAAAACCCTCCCTGTCAGCAGATGACTAGATAAAAATCACAGCTTTGGAGGAAATTTTGTCATCTTGCTTACAAGCAAGTTGTGACGTCTTTGTGAGGCCAAGCGGCGTGTGGGATTCTGACAGTGGGAAGCGCTTTTTGTGCCTCGGAGGTGTGGCTTCCAGACTCATCCCGGCTCAGTGAGTCAATTGCTTTAAAGACATCTCCTGATTTAGTGCTAGGGCAAACTGCATCTGGCACTGCTGTAGCTGTACTTACCTATAAAAATAGAAGGTCATAATTTGTTAGAAATGTTGGATGTGGGAGTGCAGGGAGCAAAACGTCCTTGGAATTGCAAGAAATCTTTGAGAAGTCAGTTCTTACTTGGGAGATAAGAAATTGGTTGTGACAAATAGTGGAATGATGCAACGTGTTCCTGATTTCATGACCTTGTTGTGTCCAAGGAAAATGGGATCTTCAGCGTGGCGTTATTGAGGGTTTCTCTGTCCCCTTTCACTTCTGCATTAATGTCATGTTTTGAAACTGAAGGAGAGGTCAGAGACTCTTAGCAGGGAAAGGCACATGCTGCCTACTAGCTCGGAGCAGATCTCGGGAGAAATGGCTCACAGATACAGCTAATTCTGCTATGGAATGTAGGTGAAAATAAAATGTCATACTTGATCAAGACATCTATTGCTGTGTGTATTGTTGGCCACCAGACAGAACTCTTGAAAGTTACTTTTTTCACTGAATGCTCAAGGAGTTGAGGAAATGGACCTGGAACAAGAAGACTTCCAAAATCTGTCACATGTAACAGATTGACATAATAGAAAAAAATTTATTATTTATTTGGTTTGGTTTTTAAAGATGCCTTCAGCTCAGTGTTGGGAATTGTAATGTGGGATAGTAGGAACAAGATGCTGCTGCGGTCGTGGTTTAGGGAGGAAGCAGGATTACTTAGGTCACCATTTGAAGGGGTTCTCATGGGGAGCTGATGGTGCGAAGGCATAAATAAATGAGGATGTTTTTCGGTTAAATAACAGGAGAGCTTCCGAACTAAGATGACAGTTGGAATAATGTTTGCAGCAACATTTACAACTAGGCTGCCCAAGAGCAAACGTGGCCTCTAAGGGTTTTTTTTTGGCTTAGAGAAGCTGTATTAGGTTGTTGAATCCCTGAACTTTTGTTTGTATTAAGGAGTGTATGACCTGCATGCAGTTAACGGGCTTCACATACAGTGACCTGCATAAATGCACGGAATTCTGATAATTTCTTGCCAAAATTGCAGATATTTCCATAGCGCGTGACGACTAGCAGCCTGCATTTATCCTAACTACTTTTCCCTTTGGATGCCTGCCTGCCTTTTGTGTGAAACCATTTCCTGCTGTCTTGGGATGGCTGTGCTGAATTTGAGAAGTGGTGATCAGAAAGGTAGTGGAGGAGGGAATGGCTTATTTGGAATAGTTGGCGGGACAAAATCATCGTGTATCCTCTTGTTACAGCTTTTGCCAGTTAATGGGAAGAACTCCCTGTTTCTGGGAAGAGGATAGCAGGGACTAAGTGATACCTAATGATTTTCCAGAGTGTTGTGCTGCTTCCTTGACCATGGCGGATTTCTGCTGGGTATTCAGCAGATCTGCAAGGACTCAGTTTGTTATCTGGCAAGCTCACAGTGTGGGGTAGATATGGTGAATTCCTACCCAGAGTTTTCTCAAACTAGACTATTTGAGGTGGTGGAGTCCCCATCCCTGGAAGCGTTCAAAAAATGGGCAGAGGTGGCACTTCGGGACATGGTTTAGTCTAGTCTACCCTTGATTGGTTTAGTGTGGACTTGGTAGTGTAGGTTAATGGTTGGACTGATGATCTTAAAGGTCTTTTCCAACCTAAATGATTCTCTGATTCTAGGATTTTATTTAGGGAGTTCCTTCACCATGCTTTCCTTGTGCCTTGTTCTTGAACCCTCATCCCTTCTGTTGGCTTACCCTTTTTGCTAAAATGCAAACACTTTCTTGGGTTAGTTATTTCATAACCTTTTTCCAGTTACTGCTTCATAATTTTCTATACCATCTTCTCCTCCTGAGCGAAGATTTTTCTGCTGAAGCTGTAAGTGGGGTGCTGCCCTTCACGACCTGAGTCCTCTTGGTGAGGGCTCCTTCTGTCTGGACACAGCTTTCCTCATCGCACTCGGGGAGCTCCACACACCCAGTAGTAGTCTCTCTAATGAGCTTGTAGATCTTGCCTTGGGCACGACTAGTTGCAGCACTGAAGTTTTTCAGTCTTTGTCAATGTATGAAAATGATAGTATTGCGAAAGAGAAGCTGATGCGCGTTAGGCTTTGAAACGTGGTGAAAGGAGGACGTAGGCTTTAGGAATTGGGATTCTACGTAAGCGGGGCCGGGGGGAGGGTTCTCTTTTATTTTCCTTTCTCATTTTTGATGAATGAATGACCTGAGCTTTGGAGTGGTGGTAAGCCTGTGGAAACCTTTGGCTTGCTTTTCATGAAAGTATTAGCAGTTGGTTTTGCTCGTCATTTCGTTACGACGGAGCGAGAGCAAAATCTTGTGAGCAAGTTAGGAAGTGCTGTGCTTGTTATTAGCATGTGCTGTTTCTCTTCTGCTTATGCTGTCACGTGTGGGAAGATAACGATACCAGTCTCTCCTGCTCTTCAGTTGTTGTGAATTACCTTGCGTCAGCGCTGTCCCTGTAGCCATACACCAAAGCAATTGCCAGATGTTTCAAGTTGTATATTTACCCGCTGTGTTGGCATAGTGGCTATGAAGTGGATATGTTCCTGAAGAGAAAAAGTTGGGTCTTTAAGCAGTCAGTTAAAAGATTTGGGGTTTATTTTGTTTGTGTGGTTGGTTTGTTTTGTTTTTGTTTTGTTTTGTTTTTTTAAGTTGCTTTTTCTTCAGAGTTGGTTTGAACTTGGCCTGGCAACAAATGCAGGTGGCTGGAGGGGTGGGAGGTGAAGGGAACTCCCTGAGCCGCAATAGCTTCTCACTCCCACTGGGAGGCAATTATTTTATTTAAGATTTGAATCTGGTATCCCTGCTTAGGGTGAAATGCAAATGACGGGGTGCATGTTCAAAGTGTCCTGTTACAGAATATATGGGAGGCATACGTTTCCTCTACCTATTTTTGGCTCTGAGTTGCATTTAGTAGCTGACTGCATTAGTATTGTTCTGGTGTCTGTGTGAGCGTACATGGTCTGTTCAACTGCATCACCCCACAATCCCTGTTAGTCCAGCCAAGTGCTGCTTTGGCTGGATTAGAAAACAGGATTAGTCCGGAGGGCAAGGATGCTGCTGCTCCTCCATAGCTTGGGAGAGTCAGAATAGGATGAGGGCCATGTAAATCTCTAACCAGCCAGACTTGTGGGATCTGTTCAATACCCAAAGATGTTGTCATCGGCCCAAAAGAATTGGGGCAACTCATTATTTATCTCCAGTTTCAGTATGTTTTCTTCTGCTGCTGCACTTGTCCAGGTTTTAACTGAGACTTAATGAACTCTTAGGCAATTTAGTCATCTGCCTGGCAAATGACATGTTGGTGATGACCTGTCATTATGTGTTCTGGAAAGAACAATGCTTGTTGCGTTCTTTGGCGCGCGTTGTGTCTCTGCTAGAGCTGTTGGCATTTAGGATTGTAGAAGCGAGCGAGCTTGGTTAATCTTCTGTTGCTGGCTGTGGTATGGTGGGGAAAATGAGATGCAGAATTAAGTTTCTTAGAGTGTTTTTGTGTGACGATGTCACTACACTAGCGTTGCCCCAAAGATAAGCTACAGCTCTTGTGTGTTCAAACGTGCAGTTTAAATATTTAGGGAGCTGGGGAGAACCCTTTCGCCCCATTAACAAAAATTTCTGTTCGGTCCTGTAGAGAGATGGTGAGAAATTGGCCCAGTCTTTTATGTAAAGAAACGAGAACTGGATAATATTTGCAACGAAAATTAGGCTGTCTGGGTTTCACATCTTTCCACTTTCTTTCATTGGAGTTCAGAGCTCAGTTTTCCTTTTCTGACGGAAATCTTTTCTCAGCTTATATGCTAAACCATTCACAATTATTGGCTCATTTGACACTTTCCTGCAAATATTTAATTTTCCATGTCATGTTTCTGACACGTTAGGGGTTAATGTGCCATCCTGGCTTACTGCCATCATTTAAAATTCAAATGTCTAAACTTTTTTCTAAGTCAGTCCATGTTTTTCAAACAAAATTATAGATAAGGAAATGATTTAAATGTAACTTGTAAAAGTTTTCATTGTTATTTCTTGCCCAAGTGGCGGACTGAAAAGTTTGTAACCTGTGAAACCAGGGGAAAATGACACAGAAAGCTTGTGGAAAATGTGGAATTGTATCAGTCTTCAGCTAAAGCGTTAGTGTATTTTTGAGCAACTGTATTTTAAAAACTAAGTTCCTAAACAATACCAGGTACTGTAACAGTTACTTTGTGTTGGTAGCTAAGATATGACTGGAAATTAGGAAAAATTTCTTTACGGAAAGGGTGGTCAGGCATTGGAACAGGCTGCCCAGAGAGGTGGGGGAGTCCCCATCCCTGGAGGCGTTTAAAAAACGGGTAGATGTGGCACTTCGGGATATGGTTTAGTCTGGTCTACCCTTGATTAGTCTAGAGTGGGCTTGGTAGTGTAGGTTAATGGTTGGACTGGATGATCTTAAAGGTCTTTTCCAACCTAGATGATTCTATGATTCTATGATAATATTCTGAATCAACTAGGCCTGCAGAAAGTACGCTTTTCTAAGTAATAGCAGGTTGGTTTTGAGGAATTGACGGTAACTATTTAACACATCATACCTGATTTGGAAAGACAGGGGTCTGAACGAGCTGTGCCTGCCTCCTTATTACACTTGTGCAGGTGTGATGACATTTCATGTCTCATGACGGTGGGTGTTACAGAAAGAACATGGTTTTTCTGTTAAATAAATAGTATCTTTAATTACTGTGACAAGCTTCTTGACTGTTTGGCGTAAATAATGTTTCTGTTTGGCTGGGTTGCTACCCTTGATATGTGGCTGTCCAAATTCTGGGGAAGGAAATATTTTTGGTCTCCTCTTGCCCATGATACAGCTTGCTGAGAGGCGGAAGGGAGTCTGAGCGTTCCCAGTTGTCCGGCTGGCTTAACAGTAGGGTGAGCAGATGAGAAGGCAGGGTAGTGGAGAATCATTTAATGGTTTAAAACAACAAGTGAAAGCACCTGTTGCTTTTGCATTCCAGTTTTTGTTAAATATCCTTTTTTGAGATGAAAATGTGGGTGTGGGGAAAGTATTTAATGTTAACCCCGTACTTATGTGTGACTTGTCGGCTGCTTTCTTTTTCCCTTCCGTTTCCACAAGTTCTCTAAATACTTCCTCTCCCTTTCGCAGTGGTAGTCGCTCTTCCAAAACCTTCAAACCAAAGAAGAATATTCCAGAGGGGTCTCACCAGTACGAGCTGCTAAAACATGCCGAAGCCACGCTTGGAAGTGGTAATCTCCGGATGGCCGTTATGCTTCCAGAGGGCGAAGACTTAAATGAATGGGTTGCAGTTAACAGTAAGTCGGCTACTCCTTTTTTTTCCATAAGTGGGGTGTTGAATGTGGGCTGACTCTTCTGGGAGGACAGCCGTGTACTCCTTTCTTGTGGGGTAGGCTCTTCTGTCCTGCATGCGCCGCTCAGCTGCTGTTGGGAGAGGCGAATGTCATATTGTTCAGAGCTGGCAGATGCAGAGCGTCTCACCGAGGCAAAAACTGCTTAATCTCCTTGTGCCAAAAAATATGTTCCTGTTAACAAAATTGTTCTTAGTCTTAGTGGTTAAAGTCTGAGCACTTGATCACAAACAAGTGCTGAAGTAGAAATGTCACTGCTGTTTTTAGAAAGTCGCCTGTCAGTGCCATCTTTATATGTTTAATCTAGCTCTTTTTCAGCGAGGGTTGTTAGCCAGTGGTATAGTCAAGCCTCTACGTGCTAAGCATCAAACCTTAATTTAGTTAAGTGTGAGGGCCAGCTCTAAAAGATGGTAAAGGCTACAGTCGTGTGCGTGGCCTGGCTTTCCTTTTGCCTGTAACAAACCCAGAGATCGATCTTTGCGATTTTCCTAAAGTTCCTTCTTTTTGTTTCTACCAAGTTGTGAGCCTTTGCTCTGGTAAGTCTGATGTCATTATTTTAACTTCCTCTAAAGCTGTTTGTCCTGACTCTCTCCTTTTATGCTAGGTCAGGCCAAACAATGATGCCCAAATTAGAGTTTACTGATTGCTTGACCACGTTTCCTCCTCCTTCCTCTCTCTGCTGCATGAATTTGCTGCCTGCCTTCTGCTCTTAAGGAATGGATTAACCCAAGTCCTGTCATGCTCCGTAGCCCGTGCAGAGTTTTGGCTGCCACAGACTCTGTGCCCTGTTTGGATATTTCCTCATCTTTTGTGCCTTTGGCTTGGCGTGCTTCCGTGATTGTACGGTATTGATTGTGCACTGCAGTGCAGTATCAATTCTGCTCAAGATAAATGTCTTCTAATTGTTTATGTGGTTCTGCCTATTTCTTCTTGCTCTCTGACGTCTTTGGGAAGTGAAACTGTCCTACTGACTTCAACCTTCGGGTTCTTAATTAGCCACACAGTGCTCTGGTATATGACTTGCCACTGCTTCCAGGGTATGTTGAAATTGCTGACACCATTCTTTATGAAAGTTTATTCCCTCTGTGTTGCAAAACTGTCTAGAAAAAAGGCCAGCCCATTTTTATGAGTAAGCATTACTAAAGATGCCTCATCTGCTGCTGGCATCCTTCCCTTTTGGTGGTTCCTCTGCTTCATGTCTCTTCTTTCCTGTGTGGTGGCGGTGTTCTTCCCTTCCTAAATGATTTAACTGCTAAATTAGCTGGGTGGCAAAAGGCAGCGAAGCACTTGACAAAAGAGTGGGAGCTGCCTTTTGGTAACAGCTGCATTCTGTAATGAAATGGTCTTCTTTGATGCCTCCTGCAGCAAAGTGGGTTTTTAATGTTTAATTTTTTTATCTAGAAGTGATCAACTGCTTACGTGCTCCCATCATTTACAAGATCCCTCTGCCACACCTAGTGCCAGTTCAGGATAGCTGTGAGCTGCTTCGGTTGATTGAGATTTCTCATAAGGAAATGAAATGGGTGACCTGATGTCATTGGTTTTGCCCTTCACAATAGTGAGAGCACGGGAACAAATTGCTCTGCTCTTCTACTTCTTGCTCAACTCTCTGCTGATTGTCTTATGATAATGAGTTGATGTACATGTAGATTTTTCAGATATGTTTTCAAAGTAAAAAGAGGTGACAAGTGTGTACTCAGTTTGTTTTGAGTTGCATTTGGAATCTCCTTGATTTGAAAATACTAAAAAATAATTTCAGAAGTACACCTTGCCCGTATCTTTGTAACAGAAGACCAGACAGCGTGCACTTCTTTGAGTAGAAAAGCACTTGGAAAAAATTATCTAAGCCCTCGAAACTTAAGAACAACGGGTAAAAAGAGGAAATGAAAATATGCAGAGGCACTGTACAGCTTTGCCCATGTTGGAAAGGAGGTTCTGGCATTTCTCTTGTTTGTCACACACTGCTGGCTTTGGTGGATGGGTGGTGTGTCTCGTGGGCTTCGGAGACTTGCGAGTGTGGGATTCGCAATAATCAGTCATCTTGTTGAAGTCTGTGTGGGTTTTTTGAACATGCTTGCCTTGAAGCAAACATTGGGCTGTGGTTTCTACTGGGAGCAGGGAATGGAAACTTAATTAACCGTTCTTGTATACGCTTAAGAAACAAGGGCTGTGTATAACGACTTCTTGCTGCCTTCGGTGTTAACTGCCTCCTCCCTCCGCCCAAACAACCTTCAGGAGTCCTCCTGGTCCCCTGTAACTTTTTTTTTATCAGCCTTGCCTAATGTTGTTTTATTGTTTTCTGCTTTTGCTGTGCGGGGGAGGCAGGGGAAGATTTTGTTGCTGGACATGAGCTGTGCTAGGTGCATGCCATACTACTCCTTATTTGCTTCCCTTTTTTGGTACCTGGGAAGTTGCATGACACGGTTGTGGCTGGTATCCTGCATCTGCTGAACGGTAGCTGTAACTTGGTGCCGTGATGTTTGTGTAATCTTTAATGTTTATTCTCTGGAAAAATCAGTGCGGGGAGCTGCAGTATTTAAGCCTCCCTTTCCTTCAGCCATGGGTTACTTCCACAGTACGTGGTGTCTGCTAGTGCTTGCATTTAGGATGTCAATCTCCATTTCATTACAGCAAGACTGTATATCTCTGTAATAGAGTGAAGCAAGGGACACAAATTTGGGCAGGCTACCCAGTAATGTGCTGGCTTCTCTTTGGCGTGGCGCCGGATTGAGAGGAGTGTGTTGTTGGTGTTAATTCCACAGTGTCCTGCAGCTTGGTTGTATGAGACTATTCAGTGTTGCAAGTGGTAACTCTTCTTTAAACTCATTTTTCTAAACTCATTTTTTAAGTTAAGACAAGCGTGTTTGTCTACTGCAGAGAATGGTCACAGGAAAACCTTTCCCTGTTGGTTCCGAATGAAGAGCTTTGTCACCTGAACACATTTAGTGTTCACAAAACACATGGCTATTTGGTGACATGATTAGACTGTCAGTACTGCTGATAAGGGGTTTTATTTGAGTGTTCCCGAAATCTGTCTCAATAAAGAAACAGTTTGTCACTGGCACACTGAATAGCAGGCGTAAGACGGGTAGCACTGAAGTGAAGTAAGTTGTAAGTGATGTTGAGCCCGGACAGACTGCGCACTGGTTTCTCATGCTGAGGACTAGCTCTGCAGACATGATTCATAAATGAAGTTTCTAGCTGTAAAGGCTCCTGTTGTCAGAGGCGGCAGGCCCAACGCTCTTAGCAGTACAAGCGATGGAGCCTGGACTGGGCACTGGGGCATTAAATCTATTTATATGTTACATATGGTTCCTTTCAGGGTGAGGGTATGTCGGTGGAATGGTTAAATTTGCAAAGCACTGCGGTTCAATAGAAGGCGCTGAACTCCACCACACTTGATTTGGGTTTTTATGTGATTGCTGAATTTCATCCATGCGTGAAAATGGATGATTAAGGGCACCAAAGCTAGTCCCACAAGTCTGAAGTTTCTGTACGCTTGTATTGCGTGGGTTCATCCAAAAGCAGAATTTACAGGAACTGTTGCAGGATAAGGGAGACAGGAATATGTAGTAAAACTGTTATTCTGGAACCATGTCATGCACTTAGTCGTAAGAATTTGACGCAGCCTACTTAAATTTCTATTTCCTAGTGCTTAATGTTGGTCACCTTTCAATTTTTACTCATGACATCCATTGTCTGAAAGACAGTTTGAAAAGATAAACTTGCATACTGATACCTTGGTAATGTGCTGTGCTCCCCAACAGATGCAAGGGGGCCTTTCATTGAGGGGAGACAAAATGGATTTTATAAACTGATTACAGTGATCGCAGTTGCTAAGTACAGAACCTGCCGTTAGGCTATTGAAGAAGAGCCTTGCTTTCTGAGAGTTCTAAGTAATCAAGCACCTATTTAATGTAGTAGGAACTATGGGAATATTTAAATAGGCTAACTTTTGGTCTTTTATTTCAGTAATTCAACTGTAGCCCATTTAAAAAAAAAAAGTTTTGGCTAAGAGAACTGCTTTCCCAGATATATAACAAAACTTAAGCAATAACCCCCCAGAAGAAAACTCCAAGACTAGTTTATAATGAATAAACATTATGGATGAAATATTGATTTGTGGTAATGAATTGGTAATTTAAGAAACAGAAGGATGTCATGACTTCTGTGCTCACCTCCCATACATGTCGTGTTTGACAATAACATAACTGAAAGATGAGCAGATTTAGATTGGATGTAAGGAGGAAATTCTTCACTGTGAGGGTGGTGAGGCACTGGAACAGGTTGCCCAGAGAAGCTGCAGATGCCCCGTCCCTGGAAGTGTTCAACGTCAGGCTGGACGGGGTTTTGGGCAACTTGGTGTAGTGGAAGACGTCTCTGCCCATAGCAGGGTGGTTGGCCTAGATGGTGTTAAAAGGTACCTTCTGACCCAAACCATTCTGTGATTTTATGAAATGTTCTTTGAAAAGTTAGTCTGCTGTGTACAAAGCCCAAGGGAAGTTAGTGTCACCTAATGAGCAACAGCTCTTTAGTTGGAAAGTTTACGCTGAAAATCTTTGTTTTATTCCAGACTTGCCAGTGGAATTTGGGATTCTACTAAAATGCACCAAACTTTCAGAAAAGGAAATAACTCGTCTTTCTCTTGTCCTTCTTTCAAATGAAGATTTTGTTGCAGTGAACAATTAAATAGTTATTGCCAGAGGCTGTTCTAAAAGTTGGTGGTTGCGTTCTGCATCTCCTTTCTCATACATCTTAAAAAGCAATAATAATGAAGTTTTTTTCACAAAAAGAATTTCAAGGCGCTCTTCAGCAGTGTGCGCTTTACAGTTAAGGCTGTAGGAAGCTTGTGTTGCCGTTACGCTGCAGAGTGTTAATTAATGGTTTAAATGCTTTACAGCTGTCGACTTCTTCAACCAGATCAATATGCTTTATGGAACCATTACGGACTTCTGCACAGAAGAGAGCTGCCCCGTGATGTCTGCTGGCCCAAAGTAAGATTATTTTTTACACGTTGAGAGTGTGCAATTTTTGAGATGATTCTGCATTTGAAAACTTGACACTAGCTCAGTTGAGTGACAAAGATGAGGTAGCTTCTGTGGGTGGAAAGGATGTGTTCTCTTGTTAACTGTGGAGGGAAAAAAATTTGAACCTTTGTTAAGGGAGTGAGGAATGGGAAGGTGGGGTTTTGGGGTGTTTTTCTTGTTTGTTTTTTCTCCCCCCCCCCCCAATTTAAATTCCCAATTTAGCTTGGGAAGTTATTATCAAAACTATCTTATCTTTTTTTTTTTTTTTTTTTTACCATATCTATCCTGAAGTTGGATGCAAGTACCAATGAGGGCCTCTTAAATTAACATTTAAAGTTTTTATATACAAGCATTCAGTTAGGGCTTACCAAAACGGTTGTGTTTTTAGGTGTTTGAGTAGGTATTGTAGAAATAAGCTTGGCTACAGTCTTTAGTACTCTGGATAAGAATCACCCTGTCCCTCAGTTAAGTTTCACTTCTTTGATTCTGGCTTACGCTTTGTACAGGCATTCAACGTTTGTGGGTTTTCTTGCTCTCAAGCTGCTTAGTGTCTTCTAAGGAGGAAAATATCTGCATTTCTAAGCGAGTGGAGAGGGAGGGCACTGCTTCCTTTCAAAAGACTGTAAAATCTTAAATAAACAATAAAGAAAAACAATCATCTCCTCCACTTGCTCCTCCTTTATAATGACATTTGTTATTGTCTGAAGCCAGTAATTGCCAGCCAGTGTGATGGAGAGCTGAGGACATGCAAAAAGGTTTCGTTCTTAAACTGAAAATGGGCACTGCTGAATGCCAAAACCAGCGTGGGCAGGCAGACCTGCCGCTGCAAAGCGGGGAGGGGTGAAAAGGCAAAAGGTATAGAAGTTTACCATGATGCAAAGGAACTCCGGCGTAAGCTTGTGCAATAGCATAGCCCATGGTCTGCTTTGTGCTTTGGCATGCAGAACAGACTCTTATTTATTCAATAAGAGTATAAAATACTTCTTTGCGTTGTTGTTTGTCTGCTGAGAAGCAGTTATTTGGGGGTGGAGGTCAATTATTAAAGGCTTAGCTCTCTGGTTGCCAGACTGAACCATTTATTTCTCTCCAGAGAGACCGATAACCATTGACAGCAATCTATGTCGTACTCCAGTAGTTACCGAGCAGGGTAGAAGAGAGATGCTAGAGGCTGGAAGATGCGTTCTGCCGAGGTTTTAATGAGGCGATCTTGTCTCAGGGGTTTGTAGAGCATTCCCCAAACTCTGCCCCCCGACCTGTGCTCAGGGATGGGTTTTGTGACAGCCTCGGAAGCGCCTGTGCACATGCGGGGCCGAGGCCAGGCAGGCACAGGAACAGGCCAGTTGTGAGGCTGGCGGTGACTGGCAGCGGAGCATATACGCTGGTTTTTAGTTCGAGTGAGCGTGCCTTGCTTTCACTTAAAAGATGGCCTGCAAAATTTTTTTTCAGGGAAGCACTGCTGGAAAACCTGTCAGCATGAAAGCACTGATATCTACAGGTTTGGGTTCCCCCCCCCCCCCCCCGTTTCTTTTCTGTTTCCTGTTCTTGTCTGGCCCAAGCTATCTTAGTTGAAGAGGCATTGAGTGTTAGGTGTCATTAGTATTTCTAGGCTGAAGGTTGCTGTCTGCTCATATCCGTGGCTGAGCTGCCACCAATATTGCATCCCGATCTATTTCAGACAAAAGAGTACAAGTTAGCTGAAACAACTTAAAGTTGTTTGGAACAGGTTAGGCAGCTGTAGCATGAGTAGCTGGAGAGAATCAAAAGCAGCAAGCACTCTGTGGCTCTAAAGTCTGATTTTTTGCGTTCCCACTGGAAAAGTGTTTATGGTCCGTATATTAAAAAAGGGCTGTAAGGTGCTGGTGCATACATAGGTAGCTGTTTAGAGCTCGTTGTGGCTCAGTCACAATTTTCATAGCACAGCTGACAAACTTGTAGCACTCTATGGAAGAATTAAACCAGATGTGAAGTGAGAGGGTAACTAGAGCAGAAGTGTGATGGTTCCCGTACCTGCTGCCTGGTACGGTGTTTGGCCTTTACAACCCCTTTAAAAGAAAAAGTTGGACCTGGCAACAGACAGGTCACTGAGGTTCGTGTCTGGTTTTCTGTGTTTTATTTTTGATACAGGGAGGGTTATCTTCTCTAAAGGGCTACCTTTCAGTAAATGCTTGGGGCTGTGTGGCTACTTCTCTGGCCCACTGGTTCTTTTCAGTAGCCATCTCGTACAGAAGGGCTTAGCTGAGGCAGGTAAGTTTTTGTGTGCTTTGGGATCAGTTTCCTTTGTGATGCACTTGCCTTTGTTGGAAGGATTGCTGACTTAGCTTGCATCGGAGCATTAGTAGGTTGAGTTAGCTAAGGATTGACATAAAATCAAGAACAGATCTCCCTCTCCTGCTGCACAGCTCACTGTCTAACAATTTGAAAAAAGTATCGGTTTAACTTGTTCCAAAACATATGATTACTCACGGTAGTGTTCCATTCTTACCACTTCAGCAGAGACCAATCATTTCTTACCCAAACCAGCCCTAGTTGGTTATCACTTGCCATTCTTCTATCAGTTGCAGTATTGCCATCAGTGCAACAGGCATGATAATAAGTTAAGAACTTCCATAGAAGTAATATGTTTGTTAACCAGCATTGGGTGGGGGAATTTTCTTTATTTTCCTCCCTGGTTGTAAGTCTTCAATGAGAACATGAAGGAGGGACATGGCTGCTGCGTTTTGCAAAGCTGGATGTCTGAACTAGAGCTCTGAAATCCATATTTAGGCATTTGCATGAGTACGCTAAGCTCACTCTTAATGGCAGTGAAATCCTTCTGATTTTCCTGAGGTTTGTTGGTGTGCAGTGCTTCTGTCTTCATACGTTCAAAGCAGAGTAGCTGGCGCTCCGAAGTGGACAGCTCCCATAAATCCTACACAGGCGTAATACGGTGTAATTGAATGTTCGCATGCTGCCTTCTGCAGCAAAAAAATAAATCGGTCGTGTAATTGGGTCCTTGAAATACCCTGTGTCTCTTAGCAATATCAATCCTTTTGCCTTTTTGTGACGCTTTGCTTTGTGCCTGTGTCACTTGACTGAGGGACAAAACAGAATAAATTTTTTTCAGCGGTCTTGATGTAATACAGTTTTGCTGAGATCTAGAGATGATGGGTCCAAATAAATGCCTGAGAATCTTTTAAAAGGCGTTACTGAGCCACTGCGTTTTATTGTTGTTGGACAAGGGAACAGCTTTAATTTTAGTCAAGCTGGTTCTGTTTTGTTGGGGTTTTTTTTTTAGCCATGTACATGTAATTGTGCGGTAGAGGAGCTGGTCCTGTGATTGTTTATACTTTGGGATATTTTCTAGTGTGAGAAGCATAGTTGGGTTTTCTGTTTATAGATGGCAAATAACTTGTGTGTATTAGCATGAGAGAATTCTGCCAGATTCGTAAGGGATTGTTAGCTTTTCCCCTGCACTTGCTGAAGTGAACTGTATATTTCTTGCTCTATACTTCACATATTGTTTTGCCCTTAAAAGGCTGTACTAAACTGTAGCGGTTTCTAAAAATGTATTTTCTGTAGAGGAACTGCCTATCATGATAAGGTTAATTTGTTTATATCACCAGAGCTGTAGGTGTCAGCTCACAGCTTGAGCTAGAAATCTGATTTTTATCCTTTGTTTCCTGTAGCAGTTCAAATTATTCTAATATGTGGGAATATTTTGTGTGTGTTTGGTTGGTTGGTTTTGGGTTTTTTTTTTTTTTTTTTCTTGCTTGTTAGTTTAAGAAGTTGGGCTAGGATTCTTGATTTGTTCTCAGTGAGGTATTTAGTCTGGTAGGAAGAGTTCATTTTCCCTTCCCTTGCGAACCCTGAGCCTTTTAACAGCCTAGGAACAACCGTGAACATTACGCCCGCTGTGTGGAGCATGGGGTGTTTGCCGGAACACTTTCAGATTCTCGATCTGACTTTATTTTTGTCAGGATATACGAGAGCTGTGTCGCTTAAAGGGTCATTCTATGGCATTCCTTCCTCTAAAAAATGCAGAACTAACCCTTAGTGTTGGAGGGTGGGGAGGGAGGGAGGCTTCTTATAGATACGTGTTGTTTGGATGACATTTTTAGCATGCAATGTAGTTTGTCGTCTTACTCTGTCTCCAGACTAAACCTGGCACCTCACCTAAGTTTCGGTATTTATCTGACATTAATACCACTTAAATCTCAGTATTAGGGCAATACCGAGTGGTGAGGAATACTGATTTTTCAGAAATGCAGACACGTTGTGGTCCATTCAGCGTGTACGGAATTTTTGCATGTTTTGAACTACAACTTTAAAACGCTTTCAGACCTTCTGATTTGTTGCCGTTATAAAAATGGGATCTTTTTATACCATTGTGCTCAGCACCCTCGTAACCACTGGTAAAATGTGTTTATTGTGAAAATGTTCTGTCAGTTGCTGTTCTGACAAAACTGAATTTGTTAAACAAAATTAGAAGCCAGAATTATCAGATACAGTTAAGCTTTGCATAAAATGATGTGTATGGTCTTTAAAATAGAAGACCTTCTCCAGCGTCGGCACAGTGCTAATTTGAGATAGCAAGGGCAAGTGTAAACAGCGGTGGTCGCAGCCCAAACGCTGGGGTATGCTACTACTGTACTGAGAAATAACAGCCAAAGTGAGCATGCTGTCCTCTGTGAAAAGAAGTATTAACTATTAATTACAACTCTTCTTTTAAAAAGAACTGAGATGAAACTTGTCCATGAAGTGGGTATGTTTCTTGTAAAAGCATGACTGAGCTGACATCACTATCCTTGTATGTTTTGTTTTGTTTGCTGGGTGTTTTTTTGTTTTCTTTTGGTTTTTTTTTTTTTTTTTTAATTTTGTATTTGTAAAAGAGGAGTGTTGCAGCTCATCTGAATCACTGTTCATTTGTTTCTCGGGGAGGATTTCAGAGCTGCAGAGCTCAGCAGTCCTTTTGGCTTCTGGCTTGGAGGCAGGCTCGCCCCACGGATAGCCGTTCTGCAGCAAGGCTGGCTGATTTAAAACCGACGTGGGAGATGAGGCTGTGCTGAGATCTAAAAGAGAGGGCTACGCACGGCTCTGTGCCGATGAGAAGAAACTGCTCAGATGTTACGGGTTGGCGAGGAATATTAAGATACATGCATTTGTACTCAGCAAGGCATAGAAAGAAACACTGTGGTTCGCTTGAAAGCTGGTCTTCTCAGACTCCCAATGTTAAAAGTGTTTGGGTTTTTTAAGCTCTATGTTCCCCAAATTAGCCGCCTTCTCCTGTGTATGGACTTGTCGGTTGCACTCCCCAAGCCTGTCAAAAGATCTCTTCCATTCTAATTTCACGAGGACTTGTTTCTGTCTGGTTGTGCATGTAAATGGATGCCATTTAATATGTTTTCCCATGGCTTTTTAAATTCCTGAAGTTAAAATGATAACTGTAAAATAAATGACGCTGGAATCTGCTCATTAAATGTGCTACGTGAAAGATGTCAACATTACTAGCTCTGTGAATGGAAAAGGGTAGAAAGAGCACATGTTTTACTGTTCCATACTCGTGTCAGTGGTTCGTAAAGGTGTGATATCACCTAGATGGAAAAATAAAGCTAAAAGACAGTTACGGGCTGGCAACTATCGAGTGGGTCAGTGGTATAACTGGAAACCAAGGTTTTTCTGAATCTCGGTGCGCTGCGTGGTAGCACTAGACCTTCAGACATCAACCTTTTTGAAGGAGGACTATTTACTCTAGAAGCTTTCTTCTAACTGTTAGCTGAAAGGCACTTTATACCACCTTCTAGTTTTGTAATAGTATTCCTTGCCATTAACCTACCTCTGAATCTATTCTGTGTCTCTAATACGATCATAATTTGGGATCTCTGGCAAAAGGCAATAGCATTTGGTCTTCAGTTATGCAAAATCTACAAGAATATTTTCAACTGTAAAAACTCGGTGATTTTTAGGGGTCTTATGTGTCTGGGTGGTAGCTGCTGCAGATGTTGACCATTGCCACTCGCTTTGCAGTTCTTCTCTGCCAGTGGACGTGAAGAGAAGTCCATTGCTAGGGCTGATGGGGTGAAATTTCATGTTAGAAATCAATCAGGTGCCTTCACGCATATGGGCCCTGGAGCTTAGCTTTTATTTGTGCGAGAACCTCATGTAACTTCTTGATGTTTCACTTGAACAGGCTGGAATGTTTTTCTTTTGGTGTTGGGGGGAAGCTTTAGAAAAGAGTAAGTAGCTATTGGCCTCTCAGCGTTTGGCACCCTACTCGTACAGCACCTTTTGATGTAAAGGGATGCAGGTTTGACCGCAGGCTGCCACGTGCGTTTTGGCAGGAAGGTTGCAACTGAGGATGAGTGAGTTGTGCTATAAAGGGTGAAGTTTTTGGAGGCCTTCACAGAGTGCAGAAGAGAGTCCAGCTAAAGCAGGGTTGCAGTGGGGAGGCTGGGTACGGAGCAGCTGCAGATGATTCAGGAGCATTTGGACCTTAGGTTCAAGGAAGGGCTGTGGGAGGGTGTGGGAGTACGGGGAGCGGAGCAGGAAGAGCAACCTTCCAGGCCTTGATATTCATGATTCACTTGTGTTAAGAAATGTCGTCTTGTTGTCGTCCCAACCCAGATATGAGTACCACTGGGCAGATGGGACAAACATAAAGAAACCAATTAAGTGCTCTGCACCAAAGTACATCGATTACCTGATGACTTGGGTCCAGGATCAGCTGGATGATGAAACGCTATTTCCTTCTAAAATAGGTAAAGTAAACAAGTAAAACTGAACAATGTATTTGGATTACAGTTGTACAGGAATATTCAAGTCTTACAGCATTAAAAGGTCTCCTAAATGACTGACGAGTAGGGCAACTTTAAGAGGTTACGTTGTGTATATATAAAGGCACTTTTACCTCTTAAGATAAAAGGTATGCGGTAGTACCTGAACTCTGATCCATGTGTTACTACTCCTAATAAACATCTATCATAACCCAGAATGCAGGAAGTACTGTTTCTATTTAACAACTGACTGTGTTGATCAAATTGGATGTTTTTTCGTTTTGACCAGTGGGTTGTTTCCTTAGAAATAAGGCAGAGGGTTTCGAAACCTTATAACCAGTAAATGCTACAAACTGGCAGCTTTTCGATGCAGGAAGGATGTTTGGTCCTCATGAGGAGCTTCTCCTAGGCCTTTCCTCTAAAGAACCTGAATTGCATCTTCAATCTTAAGTTAATGATTTCTTTTCTTTTCGAGTGAAGATGAAAGAGGTATGTTTTTAAGAGGTTTCTTTCAGAAAAGCAGGAGGAAAATAACGAGCGACCACCGGCAACCGCATCATTTTGTTCAGAAACGATAACAAGAAGAAAATCTTGCTTCTAGAGGCACGAAGGACTACGTGTTCTAAAGCTCCTAATTGGCAGTTTTCCAGTATGCCACTACTCGTAGGCTTATGATCCATTGTGGAAGAAGGAAGGGAGACCTCTAAATTGCTTGTATTTTGTGGATAGTTTCTGAAGCATTTGACCCATTTTCAGTAAGCCTCTTCAGAGAAACAGGGCCACCTGTTTCAGAATCAAGAGGCCTTTGTTTTTACTTACAGTTAAGCAGATACGCAGGGAAGGCTGGTTAGTTTGGGAAGAAGCGACAGAAAGCAAAGTCGTCCTTGCTCAGTAGATGCGAGCACGGTTTCTTCGCGTTCTATGGCATGTGCTTCAGCGTTTCAGGGTAGAGTTCAGAGCTGGGTAGAAGTCCACTAATAGGAATGATAGAAAATAGTTAGTTAATTCTAAAGTTGTGTTCAAAAGACTACATCAGGACTTGATCTGTCTTTAGCTGCAGCGTATACTTTGCTGCAGACTCTTTTTTGGTTTAATAGGATATATTTTTGAAAGGTAGCGATTCAGAAAGAGGCTTAAAGGCCATAATGGAAAACCAACTGAATATGAACTTCCCATGGGATGCAGCAGCCAGCGAAGGAAATGCGATGTACGTGTAAGCAGGGCAACCTTAAGTAAGGAGTATGAAAACTTTATTGCTAGGGTTATCAAGCACTGGGGAGATCACGATTGGACTACAGCATCCAGTTTGGGCCTCTGGCCCTTGGACAGGACTGCAGCAATTGGAAAGACTGCAAAAGAACAAAGCTGCCTGGGAAAACTGCTACGTGATCAGAAGCTAGACAGGTTTAATCTTTTTAGATGGTTGATAACGTATCTTTCTTTATCCTGCAGATGTGTCAACTAAAGAGATTATTGCTCCCAGTAGCTGGTTGCTGTTTCCTAACCAATTTTAATAAAATTTGTGCACTGACAAGATCTGCTGTTGAAACTGATTTTACCTGTCCTGGGTCATTTTCACTGAAATGACTGAAGGGAGCATGTTTCAGAGTACTTGAGCAGGCAGTTAAGGAAGCAGCAGCCTCTGGGTCAAGGGATGGTGACAAGCAGGATGGAAACTTTTTTTGCTGGGCACGAGACAGGTGGAAGAGAGCCTCTTCCTGAGTTCACTTTAGCCAAGAGAAGTGTAAAACTTGACGCCTGATACCAGAAGTGGTTTCAGTTACCTACGCGAAGGTATCTGGTGTCCCTTGGAGTATCCTGTGGTATCTTGGACACGTGCGCAGAGCCGTTGGTGAGTCTCGGAGCCTGCAGGAGAGTTCCCCTTTTCTGCATCGGCAGTCAGAGGCCAGGCAGGTACTGAGAGGGCATCTGTAAGCACATCGGATACCTGTGGTTGGGTGTCTGAATCCTGCCAGAAGGGAGGACGATTAGTTGGTGAGAGAAGGCTGAACTGCACTGAGGCATAACAAAGATTTAGTAGCTGGAAGCTGAAGCTAGGAGGGTTCAGCATAGAAATGTAGTCAGATTTTGGTCTGCTGAAGGGAGGGGAATCTCCCCTCTGGTCTTTCGGTGAGCTTGTCGTCATGCTTCAGCCTAAGTACGTTGTGTGATTTACAGCCAGAATTGTGAGTGAAGCACAACAGCCCTATTTGTGCAAGAGGTAGGGTTGGGTTATAATGGCTTTCAAAATACGTGAACGTGGCATGGGCGTTAAAAAATAAGCCATCTGTTTCCTTCTTTCCAGGTGTACCGTTCCCAAAGAATTTCATGTCAGTGGCAAAGACAATTTTAAAGCGTCTCTTCAGAGTTTATGCTCACATTTATCACCAGCACTTTGATCCAGTGATCCAGCTACAGGAAGAGGCACACCTTAACACTTCTTTCAAGCACTTTATATTTTTTGTTCAGGTAAGCATGGCAGGAGTATTATGGTTACAGTTATGTTCTGGAAAAAGTAATCTATCGAAGGAATGCCCCTTGAGTTTCTTAGCAGCTGGTGTGTTTGTAGGAGGGTCAACACCTCCAGGACCCTAAGATAGTGTCTTGCTCCATTTTTATGTGTATTCGCTGCTAGAAGCATTCGAGGAATGGAGAAGTTTTCAACAAAGGATTTGTTTGCTACAGAATTGAATACCAAAAAGCGTTCCCTACCAAATAATTCAGTAGAACAGTAATTCCTAACAGAAGGAAGAGGGAGGATGGCATCTGAAGCTAGACTGAAGAGAGTGTGCTTGCTTCAAAGCAACATTCCCTCTCTCCCCTCATAAAAAAGGAGCATCTTCTTACATTTCCTTCCTTTAAGTGGGGGAAAAAGCTTTAGGCAGTCGAGCGCTGCCGTTCAGCTAACGGCGGGCAGGCAGAAGATGCTGTAGTGGCTAAGCCTGGAATCAAAGAGCCTACTACCAAGTAACTTCTACTATCTGAGTAAGACTTCTCACCTGAGCTGCACATAAAAAAGTCTGTATGTATGTCTTTTTCCTCATCCTTGTTACAGGAATTCAACCTTATTGATAGAAGAGAACTTGCACCACTTCAAGAACTGATTGAAAAACTCACCTCTAAGGACAGATAAAAGGAAGAGGATTTCTTGAAGTCACTTGTTCCTTTAAGCAAGCGTGTGGTATTTGTTTTTTGTTCATTTGTTTTTTTTTTTTAAAAAACAAAACAAAAACCTGTGCTGTTACTAAAGACAGCCAAGATCTACTTTATGTGCTTTTATTAGGGGAAATCTGTTATCTGTTAGTGACACGTGGTAAATAGCCTTTTTTTTTTTTTAATTACTGTTGTTATTAATTGTGGAATTTTAGCAGGTGCTGAGTGTTTATAAAGGAAACATGCTTGGTTGGGGGATTGACTCTGCTGGTGGATGGGTTCTTGTGTTGTGTCAGTGGTAGCCCATTCTCATGAAGTCCCTAAAAGACTTGCTTACATTCTCTAAGTGCCTTGGCAGACTCACTTCTGAGGTGCAAAGCACATACGATACTGAACATTGCTGGAAACAGAAAATATGAACTAACACCCAGGACACTTACTGATGCTTGTTTTAGAAAAATATATATATGCTTACACTAAAAAAAGCCATAACTTACTGAAATCAATGATCTCCAGCTTTTAATACAAATATTTGTCTTATTTTTTTAGAGATTAATATAGAATTTTTCAAAACTAGATATTTCTTATAAAGAAAAATGATGGTGCAGTTCTAGTCGCTAAAGCGAAACGATGAAGGTGGTGTCAAAATTATAAAGAACCCATGCTTAGCAAGTAGTTATATGTCTGTTGCCATTGGTTTTGGCTTTTCGTAGTTGCTCTTGTTCTTTTTAACAGGGAAGCGTCAAGTTGGGCCCGTCACTTTTGTGAAGTTTCCTAGCATTTGCCAAACGAAAGGTTAGTTTGCACAAATACAGTTAGGGAAAAGAGTCAATATAAAAAAAAATAGAATGCACTGGGGTAATAATACTGAGAAAAATCTGGCTTGAGAAATAACTAGTGAAATGATGTTTGTAAGCTATGACTAAAAGGCCTGGCTTCGTGGAGGAGCTCTGGTGGCCAGCATTTTCTGTGGTAGGAAATGTATCTTGGAGCAAATATAATTTCAAGGACCGCTTAGGATTTCCGTTAGCACGATGCTGTTCTTCCCCATTTAACGTTACAGCCCATCTCCAAGGAACTACAGCAGTTGGCATAAGTAATAGGAACATACTGGTGAGTTTTTAGTGGTTAGTAATTTGTAAGTGCATCTTCTGTTTCTGAGAAAAGCTAATCAACATGTGGCCTTCCCCCACCCGGGTTAGTGTCTTTGCCTCTCTAGCCTTGTGTTTTCTCAAGCCAGAAATGGGAATCGCCTGTGAGAAGTTAACCTCTGGGGTGATCCACAGACGATGACTTGGAAATTTCTGCTGCAGCTGTTATCAGTTCGGTTTCCCGTTGCAGAAGCCCGTGTGACTAGCTCTCTTGTTCATTTATGGATCTCATCAAAGCCGTTGTATTTTGGATTCAAAGAAATCTCTGTTAGGTTCTTCAACGTGCTATCCCATGGTATCACTAGTTGCCAAGTACAGTACACTAGGTGCTTAATGTTGCCAGGCTTTGCTAGATTGTGACGCTGCAAAAGCACCGTTTTTAGACCTGAATAACGTGAAGACCTGAACTGACTGGTGTACGCTAGACTGACTCGTGGTCCTCTTAGAACTTACAGGTGAAGCCAAGGTTAGCATGCGACAGAAGAGTTGAGCTTAGGTTTTGTGCGCCTTTGCTTGACTGAAAATGCTGAGTAAAGTGGAAAATACTGTGCGGCAGCTTGCAAAATATCTTAAGTGGCCATTAATATAGCCAGCTAATAAACATCTAAGCACAGTAATAAACATATACTCATTTGGGAGACTAGAATCACTACTTCTGAGTTAAAAGGATGTATTTTGGAAGCATCTGAAGGTTATTTTAAGAACTATGTTACCTTCAACAGAGTTAAATTTCCTAGTCTGCTTAAACCGCTTCCTGGAGAAGCCACTTAATGTTTTGTTAGCTCTTCTGTCACTCCTTCCCCCTCCTGAACAGACTCGAGAACAACTGAGAAAACCTGGTATTGAGCTAGAAACTGGCATTGTGTGCTTGTGAAACTTTCAGTTGTCTTTATGTTTTGGGTTTTTCTATGTCACACAGAATTACCAAGTTTTCTTAATGTGTGGACATCAGAGGAAGGGACTTGTATATTGTGTTTTTCTTAACATCGAGTGTTGGACTTGGATTGGAGTTACCACAGTCCTCCACACTGAGTCAAGCTGACGATGCAAAGAGCTTTCCCTCAAATATTTTAACAAAGTCCTAGTTTAAAAAAGGTACAGCAAGGTCTTGTCCCTTCTGAGCCAGTAAGGGTCTTGACTCTCCCGTGTGCATACACACGTGGGAGGAAAAGAGGGGAGATACTGAATGTTGTGTTAGCTCTTCAGGGAGTTGGGGGTTGGAAAAAGTATGTACGAGGTTTAAGAGAATTAGAGGCAAAAGCAAAACAAGAAGCAGGAGCACAATTTTCTGTCCTTTGGCAAGTCTCCGATGACTGCGGCGTTGACCCCAGTGCCCTTGGCAGTCCTGCTGCTCGTAGGACATGCCTGCTCTGGCAAACATTGGGTTTCCCCATGCAGTTCTGTTGGCCAGTGGAAGAGGCAGTCAGCACTGTAGCACCTAAATGCTGCTCTCTGGAGTCGCGTAATGGGCTGATAAGAAAGCAGATTATCCCCTGTGTTGGACTGGGCAAGTACCATCCTGTTAAACAGTTGGAGAACAAGCGTTCCTTCGGTATGCACTGTCCTTTTCATGTGCTGTATGGTATGTTTGACAAGGTAGCTGGGAATGCAGTACTCCTACGGACTGCATGCATCCTTTGTGATATCTTTGGAGCCGTAGGATTGTTCTTAACTGAGTAGCGTACCTGACATCCGACCTGGACACGACTACGTACGCCTGGGTTGGGAGCGGTAGGACGGCAGTGCTAGCTTTGGGTGCAGGGTTGGAGGGCTCTCTTAGGTCAGGAACACAGAAGACCGTCGTCTTTTCAGAGTTACGGGAGCGGTCAGCGTCCACTTGACTATACAAAAGCAGCTTAACTCCCAGATTTGAACTGTACGGACTGCAGTCATGCAAGAAGCTGAATTTAAGAACGTGATCTTACACACACAGCCTTTTACGCGTGCTTCTATCTGAGGAGTGTTTAATGACTGAACATTTCCAGCTACAGAGGCGTGAAAAGCACTGTAGATGCAGTTTGATATTAAAACCACTGTAAACTTCCCAATCAAAACAGCTTTGAGTGGAGTCGGTGCCTCTCAAGAGGCTGCGTGTGTACCTTCGCTGTGCTGGTCACGCTTACTGGAGAGCAGCCTTTTAGCCAGGGCTGGAGCTCATGTCATCCCGTCACAGCAAGGCAGGAGAGCCAGAATGGCAGAAGCCTGCTCCGAGGTGCTGAATAGGAGATAGCCTCCGTTAGATTTAAAGTTTTCTCGGTGGTTTAGATGTCATGTACCAGCAAGAAACTCAAAAATACTTAGGAGTGAGGATTTGCTTGGAGCGATGCCAGTGCAGTGGCTCTCGTTTTTGGTGGACTTCTGCTCTGGAAGGTTGGGTTTTGTTGTTGTTGCTGGATTTTTTTTTTTTTTAAATAGACAGTTCTAGAAGTTGAGGCATCTGCTGCAGTTCATCTGATAGAAATTAGAATGTATTATGTAAAAAAATCAGTCTTACGTGGATAGTGTATTTTTTTGTATTTAGTAACTGGCAGTAGAAAACACTTTTACAGAATTTTTTCTAGGCATGTAATAAAAGCTTGGAGATCGTGATTTGCCTGACAGCTGTATGAACACATTGTTTAATTATACAACACTTGAAAAAACAACATTAAAGATAGGTATGCAGTGTTTGGGGTTTAGTATCCCTATGCTGTTTATATTTGCAGCTTTTAATTGGGGTTTTTTGTTTCAAAAAGATGTGGGACCAGAAACTGATTTGTGTTTACGCTCTTGAAGTAAGTGCGTGCTGAAATGCTAAACAAAAGTTGCCATGTTGTACAAATGGAATCCGGATGGAGTGAATGTGTTTATAAAACAGTGCATTTGTTGGGGGGAAGGGGAAGGACACCCCCTCACCCCCCAGGTAAAACCCAGAGGAACGAACCCTGAACAAACCCCGCGTTGCAGATGGACTCTTACGCGTCACGAGCGCTTTGAGACAAAAACTTGGAGCTTCGTTGTTGCTGGGAGCGGAAGGCGCTCTGGTGGGGTTAAACCAGGCTCGGCTGCCAGCGCTGGCTGAGGCCTTCCAGTGCAGTAGGGTCCTTCAAATCCGTGGTTTGCGGTGGTTTTCAGCTACCAGCGTGTTAGACCGTGTCAGTGATTTGGGTGGTAACTTCAGGAGGTCATCTACCTCGAGACGGGATGGGGCAAACTCTGCTAAGTTCGTCAAGTTCAGCCACCGTTGCCAATATTGACGCTGTTTAGATGGCATGGATACATTAGGTTTGCAGAAATAATTTTTCGAGTCTTTCAAATTCAAGTCAGGGATCCAAGTTAATCATGCAAATAGAAAATCAAGACGCCACGTTGTGCTGTTGCAGGTAGCTGAATGGTAGCTGAAGGGAGAAAACAGGTTTCGAGGGGCAGGTGGCCCGTCTGCAACTCTCCAGTTTCTTTTACTGCTTACTATGCAATGTAGAGCTTTGAACTTTTGCTTTTACTTTAAGATACAGAGGAGCACTGTCCTTACTTGGTATTTAGGTACTGAACACTCTCCCAGTCTCCCTGACACTCACTGAGCAGGTAAGGATGCCGATTTGCTGCTATGGACTTTACATACCTTTCAGATCGTTCCTTTCTGTTTCTCGCCCCTCTCCTCCCCCTTTTCCTTGAATCACCAGACACAATTTCAGTATAAACACATCCTTTTTGGATAGTTACTCTTTTTCGTGCTACCCTCTCCCCCCTCCCTACCTGCCAGTGCTGTATGACTGTATATAAACCCCGCCCCCTTTTAGTTGGACTATTGAAAAAGCTGCAGCATGAACACAGACTCCTTGCTTTTCTTTCACTAAACGATTCCCTGTTACGCTGAATCTTGTTTCCTTCGCTGCTGGTATCAGTTGTCTTTTTTCCAAACTGCACTACTAAAACCACTAGCAGTTTTATGGATGCCTGTCGTCTTTTCCTGGCTATCTTCTCCTTTAAGATGAGACTAACATTGGTTATTTTAAGTGTTAAACCTTTTTATTTTCCTGCTTTGCTTACAATTTCCTCGTGCCAGGTTAAGATTGCAGTCTGGGTGGATAGCAGATTACGTTTTTGTTTGAAGAACCAATTCCCTAAATTGTTCATAGAGTATTGTATTTTTAGGGGAAATTAATTTTTATAGCCACTAAACTATACTCATTATTTTTGTACGTTTGCAAGTTCTGACATTTTTCAGAGACGTGTTGCGGAGGGAACACTTATTTTCATCCTATTCATACTACTTTGGTATGCTGTGGTTGTGTTGCTTAGTACCTAGAAGCACATACCTTGATGTGCAATGGGAGAGAAGAACGCAATAAAAG